CCCGCTCCTCCCCGCGGGCGGGCCGCCGCAGCCCCTCCGCAGCCGCCGGGAGGGAGCCCTGCGTGCTGCTGCTCGCAACCCACGCGAATGGGTCTCCGGTGTGCCCGCTACGCGGTTCTGCGGGGAGAGAAACAGCGCGCAAAGGTGAGGGTGGCCAGCAGCAATACGGCTTCCTCACGGGCGCAGACCGTTAGCGCCGGCTGTGGAAAGGCGCTCTTGGTCAGCAGGCTTGCGTTGTTTTTGGGTAAAGCAGTTGGAAAACCGTCTAGTTTACGATGTCAGCATGAAGTTATGTATGGTTTTGCAATGTTTATTTCAGAGGGAGCGGTAGTTTCTTAAGGTGTGGCAGTCAGCAGTTTAAAAAATGTAAACCAGAATCTATTAGTACTGTACACCTGTTGTGGTTCAGTCGGAAGTGTAACTCGAGGTAAATTACAAAAATATTAAGGTGACATTTTAAGTTGTGACTGAAGTGCGAATTCACAGATCTCGATGTACGACACCATGTTATGCAGCTGCACTGTCCAAAGTCATTGTGTAAAATGACATCTCTTAGCCAGATGATCTTTTCCCACTATATTCAGGTACGTGTGCTAACCTAGCTTGAGACACAGTACACACGCATGCGAGCGCTTTATGTATCAGGGTAGTTCCATTCTGCAAAAATAAGCACATATGTCCAGCTGGTGACAAGACTGGACCCTTAATTAGTATTTATCTAGCTCTGTCACCTTTTGGTTTTATACTAGACAAAAGAAGGACACTTCTCTACTATAAACAATTGCCAAGAATTTCTATTTTTCTAAAGGTCTGACACATTGCAAAGCTACCATAGCTGCAGGGCTGAAATTAATTTTCATGATCCATGAAGAATGAATTGGAAGCGTTCAACTGAAGCTGGGATTCTGCAACTTCTTTTTTTGAAAGCATAGGGAAAGTAGCCAGATGATTCAAGTGCAACTGAAGGCACAGTTGTCGCTTTTCCTGTGCACACGGAAAGGGCATATGCTGTCTGGTCTTAAGGTGCCACTGTGATGCTGACATTCATGCACTTACGGTAATGGCTGTGGTGTAAAAAACCCCGTAGGCTTTAGAAAAATAAGTCCACTTCCCCAGAAACTGGGCGTTTGATATAGAGACAATAGCTAGGGGGGTTGACAATGCTATTGTTATAGAACTAGTATATTTGTTTCAAAGGTGCTACCTGAGAAGATTGAAGTGTTAGTTACTGTTATATTTGTAATTAAGGAAAATATTTATGCAAGCATTTATCTCAAGATTTAAAAGAGCTGTTTCTGTCAAGAAGAAAGCCACATTAATGCTTCTTTAAACGTGAAGTTAGTGTGCAGATCTGTGGCTTATTCTTTTGCTTACAGCCCAGTGTAAGTTAGGGGTACTTGTTGGTAACATACTTGTTAAGGAAAAATAGTAAAAAAACAAAACAAAACCAAGAAATCAAAACGAAAATACAGTCTGATTTTTCCAGATAATGTAAAGAACAGGGTGCTAACATTTTCATTATATATATAAATAAATAAAAGCACAACTTCCCCTATAGAACACTTTAACGAGAATCTACACTGTAGAGTCTACACTGGTTAGTATTATTTGCTATTCAGAAAATTGCAGTGTGAATTTACTGTGTCATTGCAGTCTGCTAGTAACTTGTGATTTATGTTACTTCCTGTGCTGTAGCAGTGAACACTAAAATGGTTTGACGCTAAGCGGGGACTGGAGATTGGTTAATAGTAAGTGTGGTATGGAGCATCACCTGCAGCTGCAGACAGCACAGAATTACCGTATGGTTTATCCTAGTTTTGAGAGCCAGACGAGAGAATGGTGAAAGCTGGCAAACCCTTAAGAAAGGCAGATGCAGCAGAACCGGAAAACTGTCTCTGATAAAACAGAGGAGGCCAAACTGGGAGAGTGAAAGTCACTGTGGGGCCTTGCAGGGAAGACAGGAGGACAGGGCAGGCATGGGTAAATACGGTAATGATTTTGCAGGGAACAGGAGTTTGCCTTTGGAAATGAAAGTGTAGTTGCACTGGCTGATACTTAAGCAGGCAAGCCACAGGAAATGCCCTCCT